TTGATAGGCTCACGAAGAGCGCACATTTTCTACCTATCAACACTACCTATGCACTTGAGAGGTTAGCCAAATTGTATGTGGATGAGATCGTGAGGCTACATGGGGTTCCTATAACCATTGTATCCGACAGGGATCCACGATTCACATCACGATTCTGGCCGAAGTTCCAGGAGTCCCTGGGAACGAAGTTGAAGTTCAGCACTGCTTTTCATCCCCAGACAGATGGGCAATCCGAGAGGGTTATACAGATTTTGGAGGATATGTTGAGAGCTTGTGCATTGGAGTTCCAAGGAAGTTGGGACAACCATTTAGCACTCGTTGAGTTTGCCTATAACAACAGTTATCAGGCAAGCATCGGCATGCCTCCATACGAAGCATTGTATGGGAGGAAATGTCGTACACCGTTGTGTTGGGATGAGGTTGGCATGGCCAAGCTCGAAAGCACGGAATTGGTAGAGATCACCAAGTCAAAGGTGAAGCTGATTCGGGAGAGGCTTAAGGCGGCCCAGGATAGACAGAAGAGCTATGCCGATAAGCGCCGGAGAGCCTTGGAATTTCAGGTGGGAGATGAGGTATTCTTGAAAGTTTCACCTTGGAAAGGAATCATCCGGTTCCAAAGCCGAGGGAAACTTAACCCACGATACATTGGGCCATTTGTGATTCTTGAGAGGATTGGGGCCGTAGCATACCGATTGCAGTTGACTCCAGAACTGGAGAAGATACATAACGTGTTCCACGTGTCTATGCTAAAGAAATATGTGCCGGATCCATCTCACGTGTTAGAGAAACCACCTGTGGAAATACGTGAAGATTTGAACTACGCCGTACGACCGGTGAGGATACTTGATAGGCAAGTAAAGAAACTAAGAAGCAAGAAAGTTCCAATGGTTAAAATCCTATGGAAAAGTGACCGAGTTGAAGAAGAAACTTGGGAAACGGAAGCCTTGATGAAGGAACAATATGCATTTCTTTTTGAATAGGCATTTGTGAATTTCGGGGACGAAATTCCCGTTAAGGGGGGGTGAACTTGTGACACCGCACCCGGATGTACTTGAATTTGAAATTCGACATGTAATTTAATTTTCCTAGCGAACATAATTCGTGTAATTGATCGGCATATTTAATTAATGCACGATTAATTAAATTACATATCGGGTCCATTATATGAGAATGGGCTACCAAATATTTAGTTGGGTTATCATAATAATTATAGGGGCCCAATAAAGTGCCAATAAAAGTTGATAAAAATATTTGAACAACCCGAGTACTATTTTGGCCGAACCTACCAAAAATAGCAGGAATAATTGGGAGGGACTCCCTACACCCACTTGGGGTATTCTACACACTAATTAGGCTCAAATAATAAGGGAGGGGGACCACACAAATTTGGCTTGTGCGGATAATTGAGGGGAGAAGTCTCCTAGAGACAAACTCACACCTCATGTCCCTATTACCTCACATCAATTGAACAATTGATTGAGGAGCAATCATCCCCTCTTGCTCACTCATCTTTCGGCCAACACAAGGAGAGAAGGAGCTCCAGGAAATCCCCCTCATCAAGGTCATAGCTTGGAGGAAAGAAGCTAAGAAAATCAACAAGGAATAGTTTGAGTTCAAGGTAAGAACTCTATCATCCTTCTTTTAACTAGTATTACCATTATATGATTTTTAAGAAATCATACGATGGATTAAACATGAAGTTCTACACGTTTAAAAGTGTAGAATATGGTTATTATATGGTGGTATTTAACTTAGAAGAGTCGTGGAATCGATAGGAGTTGAAACCACCGGAAACCGCCAAGAAGAAGGAGCTGCTCGTGTTGCAGACCGACGAACATCGCCCGGCTTTTGCCAAAGCCGGCCGGCATTTGTCCAGACAGTCCAGTTCTAGCTTTTATTCGGTTTAGGACGGGGATCAATCGAAGGGCTTAACAAAGGCAACTATTCCAGCACTTCATAAGGTGAGGATGGCTGACTATATTGCTTATAATCTTTGGGTTAATTTCATAAGATTACCTAAAGTAATTAAATGTGATTTTCATGGATTATTAATGATTAATAATGCCTAAATGAAAATATCATTGTTTGTGAATAGAAGATGCATAATATACAAATTTATGAGAAATTGTGTATGATGATGCATAATAAATGTGAAGGTATAATGATTGTATAAACCATGAGTTTTTGTGATAAAATATACTTTTACTTCATGTATAGAAATCATGAATGGATAAAAGTGATATTTTTGATATTGAGATTAAATCGTATACGGATTAGAAAGTCCATAGGAATGAGCCTTATAACTATGAGTTAAGGAGCTTGGGCTGTTTAAAGATTTATGGATTAGTATTTAATTTACTAATCGGGAATGTTGTATAAAAAGTGATAGAACAATCCTAAGGACTTGGATTGTGAAGGATGCACCTTAAGTAGTCTTATGAGATGCCTTAAGGTAGGAAGGGGTAACCACTAAGTTACATTAGGAGTAGGCCTCATTGGCTACTCAAGATTGAGGAACTCTAGGCATAGAATTTGCTAGTGAGTTAGTATCGTGACTAGAGGAAGCCTCTAGCACGATGAAGAATGACTGGAGGAAGCCTCCAGCATTCGTGTAGGACGAATTAGTATCGTGACTAGAGGAAGCCTCTAGCACGATGAAGAATGACTGGAGGAAGCCTCCAGCATTCGTGTAGGATGACTAGAGGAAGCCTCTAGCATAATGTAATGTGACTGGAGGAAGCCTCCAGCACAAAGTATGTAAGGTGATTAGAGGAAGCCTCTAACACCGAATTTAGTGACTAGAGTAAGCCTCTAGCACGGTAAAACATGACTAGAGGAAGCCTCTAGCATGGTGAATTAATATAGATGGGCGTGGCTTGAAGTCACGGGGAAAGGGTTGAACGTTTTTAAAGAAAAACATGGGTCTTCGGGCCGACTACTTGACTTTATATATAAAGTAAGTATATTTTCAAAGAGGGTAACCACGGGTTATGACCTATATTATATTATCACCCTATGTGAGGGTCTTGGAAATTGAAACTTTGATTATACTTAGTATAGTTGTCATTGTACTTGTCAAATGCTTCCAAGTACTGACCTCCCCTTCACGGGGGAGGCCACCTCACAGTTTCAGGTAGGACTTGAAGGTTGCTACCGCCGCCGTTGCTTCGGGGAGATTCAAGGGAGGAGACGTGGTTCGTGCTTCTTCCGTTCCTGTTTTGAAAACATTTTAAATATTGCTCATGGATACTATTTGAATATTTATTGGGGCTTGTACGCCCGTGTTTGCCACGTGTGGCATGGATATTTGTATTAACGTTTCCGCTGCTTGATTAAATATTTTGCATTATGATTGTTTATGGATGTACTATTGTGAATGATATTCATGACGCCTAGTATAGTATGGATGAGTTGAACTGCGGTTGACTATTCGTACTGTACGGCGGGTTGTTGACGTGTCCGGTAGGTCCGGGGCGTGACATACGTAGTATAGGTGAAGTAGAGTTCGTATCCACACGGAAAGAAATAATTCTCTTTTTATAAAACTTAGTAAATAAAAAAGGGGGTTTTGGGATTGTTGGAATTTAATTAATTTAAACACCAAGATGAACGACTTACATGTGATTTAATTCAAAGATAAAAAGGACTTGACATTGCTACTTTCCACTTGTTGATATATTTTAGTCGATTATTGTTATATCTATAACTTATCCCCTCTCGAATACTCAATCGAGGAGTATATCCAATTCATCGAGGGTAGTTATTAACAACGACGTTCATTAATAACCCTTACTATTAGTCAAGTATAGAACACTGCCATATACCGACTTGATAGTAGCATTTAATCTCTTAACTCCTTGATGAAATCAATTGAGATTGATAATCTCAACCAACGGTTTCGGTTTAATCAACAAAATTAATCCCTCTTAAGTTTATTAACCACGACCGTGCATTAATAAACTGAAGTTACTTACTTGTGAAACCATCAACGATTAACAAGCGTATTCGTCGATCGATTCTAGTTATAATTAATATATGAAACAAAACTAGTTGATTCTTTAAGTAATGTTCAAAATATTAATATGAAATATGAATAGGAAATTAGTATAACGTTATATCCCCATAGTATAACGCTAATATGAAATATTTAGCCATCATTGAAAAAACAATAATACTAACCCCACAAGCTAGGAAATTAGTTCCTCTCTAAAATATACCGGGTTATTAATTTAATTGAAAGGAATTAAATTCCTCTCTGTTTTTGTATGGCCTTATTTTGATAAGTAATGTACATAAAAAAAATTGTGCTCCGTACCATTTTCAAGTTTTGTATAGTTTCTTACTCCATTTCTATTCATAGGGAGTAATAAGCATTTAAATTACTCTGGTATTATTTCAAAATACATTTTTTGTCTAATTTTTTGTTCATAAAAAAGGAAATAAATAATTAGTTTTCCTTCTTGTGTTTAATAATGTTTAATACGGAACAATTAAGAACATGTAGAGTCCATTTGGCGACCATATTTTTCGGCTTATTAGGTTTATCCACAAGTTTTTTCACTAAACGTGCACGCTCAATTGTATAATAATAAGAAAAAATAAGGTTAACTGAATTGTTAAGTGAACAGTCAATAAGGTTAGGGTAACTTTATTGGTAACTTCTAAAGACTCTTGTTAAGCGAACGGTCTTTAGAGGATTCATTTGGGGCGGTTCCTTTTGTTGGTTCCCTCGACAGGATTGGTAAGCGAACAGTCAATAATGTTAGGCTCCCTGGAAAGGAGAGCTTGAATAAGGATGTTTTTACTGTAATTTGCTGGTCTGGTCTGGTCTGGTCTGAACTTGTCTGGTCTGGTAAGGTCTGGTTTCTTTGTATTTTTATAACTATCCAAGTCTGGTCTGGTCTAGTCTGGTCTGAACTGGTCTGGTCTGGTCTGGACTGGTCTGGTCTGATCTGGTCTGGGGAAATTTACAGTCCAAGTAAAAACATCCTAACTGGAGTCTGGAATTGAAACCAGCAGATTCAAGTCCCAACTTGATTGGAGACAAGGAGATGATTTGTGTGATGAATTCAAACGGGTGTTTGATTAACTCTTTGCAAGCTTACCATAGGAAATTGCCAGCCAATGAACTGATGAAGTTTAGTACAAAGTTTGGACCTCGTTGCCCGAGTATATTTAAACGAAAGAGGACGAAGAGACAGAGGGCAACTGAGTATTGCATAAGGTTCATGGATAATTGTAAAAAAAAGAAACTGTTGCCTTCCAAATATAAATTGCGCAGATCCTCCAAGCAACATTCTTGGTTTACAATCAGCCGACTCAATCTTTCAAGTCAAATTGAAGCAGGGATTTGTGATCCTGAATCTTTCAAGTGCCAATTATCTCTGTCTCCTATAGTGAAATCTACAAGGAAAAGATCGAAAAGGATTCCCCGAAGTTACTCATCTTTTTTGCGAGTGTCTCATTCTGCCATGGTTGAGAGTACTGATTCAGAACTCATCTGCCATGCTGAACATAGTAATTTCCTGAGAGTTTGTGTATATATTTTCCACATTCCTATCCTAACAGAATAACGTATTCCGTATACTTTGATGTGAAACAAATTGTTTCTGCAGGTTACAAGAAAGAGGACCCCCCAGGTATTGAACAAGCTATTTAAGAATGTCTTGATCTAAATGGTTATATGAATAGTCTAGCTAATGGGATTGAGGTGCCACCGGTTATGATGGTTAGCCAATAAGTATTGATAATTGGTGTTTCTAGAGTTAATTTGAAGAAACTGCTTGGTCAAATGTCACTTGGTGGAAGCTGAAACATATGGTTTTTTCTATGTTATTTCCAAAATAAAATGTTGAGGTGTTGTGTCTATAGAAATGGTGGTTTGAGTCTTTCTTGATCTGGACAAATATCAGGATAGCTAAAAACCAGAAGCACAGAGAGAAAAATATATTCTCTTAAAATGAAGACAATCAAAGGCATTTAAACTTGTCATTCCAAAGGCATGAACATGAAAGCATTGCAAAAACAATGCAGACAATATATATCGACCAATTCAATTGTCTACAAAGTGGATACATGGTGTAAACCTACTTATAATGTTTAACTTATAGTGATGCACTCCTACTCATTATGAAAATGCTCTTGACCCACTTCTACTCTTGAGGGAAAAGTCATCGCGATGTATTTTGTTCATATTACTAAGCTCAGGTTTAAATTGTGAAACTGTGGGTGGGGGTTATGATGAATGAAAATGAAGTCCTAATTGTGTCTTAAAATTATTAGCTCTAAAAGTTTAGGTGGAATTTATCGGGAAGAGTTCAAATGTGGAGTATTTCATTTAATACACTTCAAATTGGACTCTGAAAAATGAAAAAAAAAAAAGAGAAAACTATCAAATAAGTCCCCCTACCACTTAAAAAAAGTCAATTGGACCCCTCAACTAAAACAACACTCAATTACACCCCCTGAACCCATTTAAAATATTCAAATCCTCATTTTGACCGATCAAGTCCCGGTTACCCGGTAACCTTTATGTCTGAAGGTTGACGTGGCACATTTTAATCTGACTGGGCTTAGACGTGGACTGATCCCTGAAATCTAACCCTATAAAAAACATAAAATACGTCGTCTCCCTCAGTCCCTTCCCAAAAGTTGACGCTTGTTAGGTTCTTCACAGTAGCGATAATGGCAGCTTCTTCTTCGTCTAGCGTAAGAAAAATTAAGTCTTCCACTCTGAACTATGAGCCGAGTGTGTACTGTTATTGTGGTCTGAAATCCCCTCTGTGCACTGGACAGCAAACTGGCCGAATGTTCTATGGGTGTCAACAATGGAAGGTAAATAGTAAGTTGTCATAGTAGTAATTTTGTTATCTTTGATTCACATTAAATTTATTTTGGGTACTGCTGATTTTGTAAGACAGAGAGGGATGTGGGTTTTTCCTTTGGAAAGATGTGCCAGATTCAAAGCTTGGCATTCATACCCAGTTGCCATACTTCAATGAAAAACATGAAGTGAAGAGGATGAATAATTGTTCAAGCGGTGAACATATGTGTGTGGTTCGAACTGAGATTGCTAATATTCGAATACAATTACAAGCACAGGCTTAGCAAAATAGAAAGTTTAGGATGTTGTATGCATTTGGATACTGTGTGACCATGGGTTTTGTTGCTATGGTTTATTTTAATTCGAGTAAGTCATGTATGTGTTAGGATTGGTACTGTTTGTATTCCTGACTTTGAATTTGTATCGTTTTTGTATTTTTATGACAAGACATGTATTGTTGGCATTGTTAATTTGTTTTGATTGGATTGTAGTAGCCCAGAGCTGGTTTGTGTGTTGCTTTGATTGCCCAGAGCTGGTTTATTCACCACATTATTGTTTACACTTCCATGCACTTGAACAAGAGCTGCTATTTACACTTTAACATAGTTTGTAGTTGAACTGATTTGAAGAGCAGGTGGTTTTACACTTGAACTGAATATAACAAGAGCCAATTTAGAGACTCCAATTCAGGTTACCAACAACGGTTTTTTACACTTGAATTGAGTTTAAGAAGAGCTGGGTTTTTACACTTGAACTGAATATAACAAGAGCTAATTTAGAGACTTCAATTCAGGTTAACAACAACTGCTTTTTACTTCTGAACTGAGTTTAAGAAGAGTTGTTTTTCACTGAAAGTGAATTTAACAAGAGCTGAGTTTCATACTTCAAAATACTTTAACAACAGGCTGATTTTTATACCTAAATTGAGTTTAACAAGAGCTATTTTTTACACTTGAACTGAGGTTAATAAGAGCTGATTATTACACTTCAATTGAGGTTAATAACAGCTTATTATTACACTTGAATTGAGGTTAATAATGGCTGATTATTACACTAGATTTGAGGTTAATAACAGTTGATTTTTTAAACTGAATTGAGGTTAACAACTACTGATCTGTACATTTCATTTGAAGTTAACAACAACTAATTTTTACATCTCAACATAGGTTAATAAAACCTGGTTTTTACACACAAAAATGCCAAGACAAAACCAGCTTCACAATCAAAAGCTTTAAAGTAGAAACCTGGTTTGTTCACTTCAATTGAGGTTAAACACAACCTCTGTTTACACTTCCAGACATGTTAATAAGGCATGATTTTTACACACATAAAGTGGTTTGCAAAACCCAGCTTAACAGGCAAAAGGTGCATACACCAGGTTAATAAGACCTGATTTGTACACTTCCACACCAGTTAAAAAAATTAGCTATCTTAACAAGGGCTGAACACAGCCTAATAACACTTGATTTTTACACTTCATCACAGATCAACACATGCTAAAAACACTTGATTTTTACACTTCAACACAGGTTTCAAAAACCACATCAAACGTATAGCAAAATAACAACATTAAGTCATCTTCAGAGAAAGAAAAGACCACCATAACAAGGGATGAACTTCATTTCTTTAACAAGAGTTTAACAAAACAGTAGAGCTTAATAGCATAAAATTAAAACAGATTGGAGTAGATAACCCCTCATAACTAAAGTTCCCAAAACAACCGGGCTAAATGAACGAACACACCATAGCTATTAAGTTTCTCCAAAATAACCAGACAGTACCAAACATACACCGAAACAGGAAATAAGCTATACAATAATAAGCTATCTTAATCTATGTGACATTATGCCCCTGCAGGTGACATGTCTTCTGTAAAAACCAGACCGGTGAGCAAAAACTTCCTGTTGTCAACTGTCCTTCACATTATCCCTTCACATACCACTGCTTCTCCTCGTTGGTGAGGCTGCATTAGTAAACACCAATGACTTTAGAGAGATGAAATAAGAAAAATCACTTTTGATTACAAATCAAATAAATAAGAGAAGCCTGCTGCTTACATTTAGGAATGTGGCTCCAGTATGTGGATCTGTGTATATACCAAAACCGGATTTGTGAACTGCATGAGGCTGTCTTCCTCTTCCCCGCTTTCTTCCTCTTCCTCTCCCCCTACCAACTTCATGATCACTTCCACTACGAGCATCACTAGTCTGTCCAGATTTTCTTCCCCTCCCCCTACCCCTACCCCGGCCCCTTCCTCTTTCACCAGGTGTATTGCTATTTGGACAGTATAGCTTATTATGGCCCATCTCATTTCAAATGGAGCAAGTCATTACTCTACCCTTCCTTGACATTTGGGATCCTGGGGGAGGGTCATTTTCTTCACGCACTCTCTTCTTTTTTGGCCTTCCAGACATTTTTTTGGGTAAAGGAGCCTGGATTTCTTCATGTTCTGTTGTAGGCCAGAACATCTCACCATTAATGGGTGGTAGAGTATGGGAGTATGTCCTCTCATACATTTCTTTAGAGTAGCAATTGTCCACAAACTCCATTGCATGCGCACAAGGAATACCTGAAATGTACAAACCAAAAACAATCAATTATAATAATCAACAACCTATTATGAACATATGAATGTAGAATACCTGAAAGATCCCATTTTCTGCAACTGCATGATCTGCCTTGGAGACTGACAGTGAACTGATGCCTTCCTTTTTTTATCTCATACCCGTCATCTCCGTTAAAATCAACATGCCATCCCGAACTAGAAATAATATTCTTTTCTAGCTTTTTTCTGATAATTGGCCCAAATTTTCCTGCAATATACACACATTTAAACCATGACTAATAATTAAAGGAAAGGTAAAAATAAATAATAATTAATTCTTAAAGCCTTGTTACCAGACCACTTTTCCACATATTTCTTCTTCTTCTTCAATTCGCAATCCTCTTCATCATTCCCACTCGTATATCTTCAAGCATTGGAATGAGAGGCTTTCCTCTGCATTTTACGAGGGTGCTATTGAAAGCTTCACAAAGGTTGTTTTCACAGGCATCACACTTCACACACATTCTAAAGAATGCTTTGCACCATAACTGAAATGGCTGTTTGCGCAAATCCACAGCAACTTCAAAGTCAATTTTCTCCATCTCAAGTATGTTTGCTTCAAGTTCCTCATTTGATGTGGACTTTGCAACCTGCCAAAATAGTCTTTTGAGGGTCGTTCCTTTGAGTTTTGCTCCAATTAGCGTGTATATGTCGAGCACAATTTCTGTGCTCAATGCCAGGCAACACTTTCTCTATGACAGTGGAAAGACCCTACAACAAACATTTCAAATATTGTTAATTATGAACTACAAACATTGAATTTAGATAACAAAATTATAAAAAGTTGCTGCAAAAAACAATGAATATAAGTCATGTATGTGGCTAACCTTCTGTTGATCACTTATAATAGTCCATAAATCTGTCCTTTCAATCATTAGATCTTGCTTTAGTAGGTCTAGGAACCAAGTCCACGAAGAATTATTTTCAATCTCCACCACAGCCCAAGCAATTGGGTACATCTGGTTGTTAGCATCCCTACCAACGGCAGTCAATATTTCACCCTTGAGCTGGCCTTTCAAAAAACACCCATCAACTCCAATCACCTTTTGACAACCTTCTAAAAAACCCTTTTTAACTGGCCCTAAACAGAAGTACGCCCTCTGGAACACACATGGCCCATCTGGAACAACCCTATTTGTCTTTACCACTACAGTACTATCGGGAATGAATTTCAAACACTCCTCACCATAGTTCCTAATTCTTCTAAACTGGTCCTTAAAGGCTGATTTAGTTTTTTCATGGATACCTCTAATAGCCCGTGTGACCATACTAGCAGACACATTAATCTTCAGATCGGTTTTTATAAGTGATTTCAATTCAAGAGCAGTCATGCTTGGATTTTCTAAAAGTATTTCTTCATACCTCTCTTCCAGCCATTTTTGACTAACAACCTTCAGTTTAAATTTCAAATTGCATTGATAACCGCTTTCGCGGCGTTGTAGTAAAACGGAGTCTAACCTTTCGGTTTTTCCCCGAGTATCGTGTCTCTCGAGGAATGGCGGAGGAGCTTCTTGATTTTAAGTCCAGTCACAGGTTATCGCAAATTATTGGAAGCTTTCCAAATTAAAACTTTTGATTGATTTTCTAAACTACTTTTTGGAAAAGAAAGTAAATTAAATTGTGCAAATACTAATGATGGCTCAAAAATAGACTAAAGGAAAAAATATAATATTAAACTTAAATGGATTGGTGCAAATAAGGGCAATGAATTGAGTAATTAGAAATGGATATATTCTTGGACCTAGTAATTAGGGAAATTAAAACTAAAATTGGACTAATAATTTCTTTCCTCATAGACAAGAATAGAAACTATTTTCATTAATTTATCCTATTTCTAGGTGTCATTAATGTGTTCAAAAATGGTTGGCTTGAATTAAATTCTAACCTCATAGACAAGGTAGAAATAATTCTCCAATATTTTAATTAATAAAAATAGCCGAATTCATTAACTAGTTAAACTCATTATTTAAGCAATTGAATTTATCTCTCATAGACAAGATGTAAATCCCTTTCATTAAATTATCCTATTTCTAGGCCTTATTAATGTGCTTGAATATGGTTGGCTTAAATTATTTTCTAATCTCATAGACAAGTTAGAAATAATTTTCCAAGAATTTAATTAATGAATATGGCTAACAATTATTAATTACTATTTCATCATTTCAAACAACTAGTCCAAATTATTAATTTTAATCCCTAATTTTCGGTCAACAAGTCAATCCATATTCCTTTAGTCAATTCATGCCCAAAACAAATTTAGCTAATAAACATCATTTTTTCATTTAACAATACAATGAATAAATTCAACATTAACAAGGAATTAAGCATGTATCATAGCAAAAATTAAACAAAAATAATATTCTTCCCAAATAAACTTGTAGAACTAAAATATCACCTTCTGGAATTTTTCCGAATTTTATAACCTAAAATCCAATTTTAACAACTAATTGATAATTTTCCCAATATTAACTAGAAAATACAAAAAGCAACTAAAATTATTTTAAATTCGTTCTAAATTTTATATTGAATACTAGGAGTGATATTACTGTGAATTTAACTGGAATTAGGACAGAAACTAATTTTTTTCCTTTTTTGAGTATTTAATTTAATTTATGCAATAATAACAACTAAATGCCGGAATTAATTAAAATTTACTTCTACTTCGTAAAAATTAACTTTGTTTTGATAAATAACTACCTTGAGGCTAGTAAACAACTATATAATTAATTGGAATGGATTTAATGTCAACAACTATTTTATTCAAATTTAAGACGAAAATGCGAAATAGTTGAATAATTTTCTGGAAATTTTAGAAGCACAGATAGAAAAAACTAAGTACAGATTCAGATTCTACTCATTGAAAGGATGAAAATACATATAAAGAACTCACAATTTGGAGCTAAAATGAGAAAGATATGAAAGATTGAAGTTGAAGGTGCAACAATGGTGGAAATCCGAGCTTTGAGGAGGAAGAAGACGCCCTTTTTGATCTGATTTGGGCTTGAAATTGGTGTGTTTGAGTTCAGCAAAAATCGGGCAATTTATAGGAAAAATTTCCCCGAAGGCGGCCAACCAGGCGGCCGCCTTCCGCCTCTCTTCGGCCGCCTTCCGTCCTCGTCGCCGACAGCGGTCGGTGGCCGGTCTCCGTCAGCCGTAGGCGGCCACAGAGGGCGGCCGCCTTCCGCCACAAATGGCCGCCTGCCGTCTTGTCATTGGCAGATCGGATCCTGGCGGATCCCGGCGGATCCCGGCCGCCGCAGGCGGTCCAGCAGGCGGCCGCCTGCCGTCCTGTCTGGCCGCCTGCCGTCCTGTCTGGCCGACGGTGGTTGGTTTCGTCCCCTTGTGCCGCAGGCGGCCACCGAAGGCGGCCGCCTTCTTCCTCGTGTCGACAGCCTTCGGTCTTTTCCTGGTCCCGAGTCAAAGCGAGGTTGACTTCTGATTTTTCCCGTAGGCGGCCAACCAGGCGGCCATTTTGGGCGCCTATTTGGGCGCTTTCTGCCACTTTTGTCTGGCAGATGCGGCTTTTCCTGCTCTTCAACTTTGTCTTCTGAATCACTTTGATAAAATGCTTGCTTCTTCCGGTATAAATGCATTTGTCACTCAAATTGACTCATTTTGTGCTCAATTGACCCGAAATCCCGCTAAACATATTATGGATGTGATTTTTACCTGATTTCATGAAACTTGAACCAAAATATATAAAATGTGTCTTTTCTTTCTATTTTCATTCAAAAATCGCTTAAATTTGATAAGAAAAATAAGTACAAAAATGGACTTATCATGCATAAATGCACGGAATTGAAGACCTTTATTTGAAAACAGTGTAAGCTCCTTTCCCAAGTACCAGTACACCTAAATGGGCAGGTTTTAGCACACTTCACACGCACTCTTTTAGGCTCATTCTTGGCAAAATGAATATCTCTTTTTTCGTGAACCGCATATTTGATCATAGCATTTTTGAACTGCCTTCCATCCTCAAATAACATCTCAAACTCAATGTGAGGGGGTTTAGAATCAGGGTTATAAGATACATATTTGAGCTTCTTGCTTTGTTGTCGGAGTGCACCCCCCTTAGATTCATCTCGTGAATGTAAGCTAGAATGATTATCAGAATCATATTCAGCGCTGCTCTCAGAATGTTTTCCACCCCAATCTTTGGACTTTCTTGCATTTCGGGTCTTCTTATAAGTATGTTGGTGTTCTACTTTATCTTCATCATCTGAAAGGATACGGGCATCCTAGAGTACATCTTCTTGATCCTCATTTTCTGCATCTTTCCCCCTCTCTGCATTATTAGATTCCTCTTCAGAGACATCCACTTCACTCTCTTTACTTCCATGATCTTCCTCTTCCATTATCTCTTCATTATAACCTGTAGTAATCCTTTCACATTCTGTTTCTTCAGTAGTTGGTGGAGGTAAAGGGAGGGTTGTAACTAACTCTACATCGTCTAACCCATGCTCTACAAAGATGTCACATTGCCCACAATTTCTGGCCACATCAATTAACTGTAAGGTGGACTCATCTATGCTAATTATGCCGATGGATGCCAGGATTAAAATTGAATGTGTTGCTGCTTTATTATAAGCACACAATAATGGGACATCTTTTGTCCTATTTCAGGATCACAGGGAGTGATGTGAGTTTTCTCGCACTTAAAATAGATCGTAATATAGTGGTGTAAGTACGAGTATTGTCTCCGCAGGGACGGGCAAAAGGGAATCAAGAATTAATTAAATTCAGCGATTAAAAAGAAAATAAAATAAAAGCGTCGTGCGAGATTGGTTGGTTTGGAAAATAAAACTAATGCGAACAATTAAACTAGGGGGTTCTTTTTAATTAATGACGAAGGAAACATGGATCAATTCCGGGATAACTATATTTCTGGCAGATCAGGCCTAATTACATGAAATTAATTTAATTGAGCCTAGCTAATCATTACTAAGTTCTTACCGCTCTCGCGGCGTAGAGTACAATAATTTAGGGGACCAGGCTGATCTCTCATGCGACAGGATCCTAAGTTATTGCCATGATGAGCGAGCTTACGCCCCCTTAATCGCTACTAATCTCTTAGCGAACGATTAAGAGTGTGTGAATGTGTCCTAGAACAAATTAGATCTCTCTTAATTTATTCTATATGCAATTGTAATTCTAGTCGCGATTCTAGGTTACAAAAGATATCAATTAAATTATTCAAACACAAATTAAACGGCATTCATGCAATTAAACCGAAAAGAATGTAGCCATACATCATGATTAACCCCTTCATCAATCCCAAATCCCTAATTAAAACTACTCACAATTCATAATTGAAGAATCAATAGAATTGGAATAAAAAGAATTAATTGTCATTAATTAAAAAGGTGGAACTTACAAAGAATCCCAAAAGATTGATGAACAAGGATGAAAAACCATCTAAATTTCGTGCTAGGCACTCTCTCTAAGCTCCCCCCTTGAAAACGGGGGTTTACAGGCTGTTTAAATAGAAAATTCGGGTGAAATTTGAGCTGAATTGGGATTTTCGGAGCCAGACACGATGCCAGGCACGATCGTGCCTTCGATCATGCCTCCGGAGCAAAAAACGTGCATTTTGGGCAGGCACGATCGTGCCTCCCTCCAGGCACGATCGTGCCTGGCTTGCAGTAACTCCTTCGTGTTTTCTCTTCACGCACGATCATGTCTGACTTCATGAAAGTTGTAGATAATGAAGTCCTCTATCCACCCCAATTTGCAGAATGGGATTTGAATCATCCAATCAAGAGATATGATCAAAACGGTGCAAGGTGTCTTTCTGAAATCGCAGCAGAGATCATCTGACTTCATCGTCTTTTTTCTCCTTCTTCCTATCCGATTCTCGCAAAGGTGTCTTCATATCATTTGTAGCCCTTGAAGTTAGCTTTCATATGGAACTTGAATCGTGTACATTGGATGTTTCTACAAAGAGATATGCTTGAACGATTGACAGAAGGTCATCCTGATCGTCGTTTTCAAGCTTCATTCATCTTCTTTGACCCCGTAGCCAATCCTAGAGCTCTTTTTCCTTCAAATCTTCGTCGTGAATCTTCCGGTGACCTCCAAAGCTATCAAATCATTCTCAAATGCTTATCAAATCATCCCGATTGTTCCTCAAGTGCCGGTGCCGGGCTCAAATTCCCTGATTTTGACTACAAACAACACAAAACTCGAACCAACGCCCGGTAAACATAACTTGAGCTAAAATTGAGACTTGCAATACCTTAAAGCTAGGGAAACCATCAAAATCCGATCTCAACACACATCAAATGCGTGTCAAAATACGGACTTATTAGGGAGCTAGCTACTTGGTAACATAATAAATGAAATTTAAATCCCTTCATCTATTTTTCTATAAAGGACTTGTCTGTATGCATTTGTAGTTCAATGTATCTTTGCTTAAAAAATATTGACTTAGGATGAGAGCATATTTTGCCTTTATGACTTTAATGTGCTATATAATTACCCATGTTTAATGTATTAGTTTTAGCTAACAAATATCCATTGTTGTTCAAAGCCTATGAAATACTATACGAATGTATGATAAAAACTTGGAGAAGAAAAGAGGCTCACCAAAAACTACTTTCATTAATAATCAATAGGCTTTATATAGCCTTTTACAAGAATGAAAACAATCAAGCACGTATAACAACTATCTCCTATAATTATGCTAAGCCAAGTATTCAAATACGTGAGTAAACAAAGACCAAATCAAATGCCTAAACTTTAGCTAACCACTTAGACTTATTCAAAAACAATATTAATCAATAAAGAATAACTAAAAACCAATATTCCACGTATGCATGCAAGCTTGATAACTTGCTCAACACCTCCCCTTGATTCAAGATTGTCATCCCAATCCTTTTCATGAAAAATTGATGCTTAGCTTGAGGTAAAGCCTTAGTGAACAAATCTGCATTCTGAAACTCAGTTCCACAATATTGCAGAGCTATTTTCTCCTCAGCTACAAGCTTCCTAATGAAATGATGTTGTACATCTATATGCTTTGTTCTGGCATGAAAAGATGGGTTCTTTGCCATTGCAATGGTGGACATGTTGTCACACCAAATCTCTGGAATTTCTTGTTGTTCACAGCACAAATCCTTTAGTAACTTCCTCAGCCACAATGCTTGTTTTGCTGCAGCTCCTGCAGCAATGTACTCTGCCTCAGAGGTAGACAAAGCCACTGTATCTTGCTTCTTTGAACTCCATGTAATAGCTCCAGAACCAAGGTCAAACACTGAGCCTGAGGTGCTCTTTCTGTCATCAATACAACCTGCCCAATCACTATCAGTATAGCCTCTGAGTTTAAAGTGTTTTACACTTTCATACCATACTCCAAACTCAAGAGTTCCTGCCACATATCTCAGAATTCTTTTGGCTGCACCAAAGTGTTGCTTAGTAGGACAATGCATATACCTAGACACAACACTAACACTGTGTGCAATGTCAGGTCTGGTGTGTGTTAGGTAGTTTAGTCCCCCAACTAGGCTTCTGAACAATCTTTCATTTGCTTTCTCAGTTCCATCACATTTCTGCAGCTTCTCATTGGTATTCATAGGAGTCTTAGCTATTTCACAATTCTCCATATGAAACCTTTTGAGCAAATCCATAGCATACTTTCTTTGGCACAAGAAAGTTCCCTCTTTTTTCTGTTTTACTTCCAAGCCAAGAAAGTATTGCAGAACTCCTAGGTCAGTCATTTCAAACCTCTGCTTCATTGAGTTCTTGAAATCTGCTAGCATACTTTCTGAGGAGCTAAAGTACACTATATCATCAACATAAAGACACACAACAATGAACTGATCCATACCTTGCTTCTTTATGTAAAGTGTTGGCTCATTATCACTTCTAGTGAACCCACCAGCTATGAAGAATGAGTCAATCTTACTGTACCAGGCTCTTGGAGCCTGCTTTAAGCCATAAAGTGCCTTCTTTAGCTTGTACACCTTTTCAGGTTCATTCTTCTTCTCAAAACCCTGAGGTTGTTCAACAAACACCTCCTCCTGAAGTTCTCCATTTAAAAATGCTGACTTCACATCTAATTGGAATACAGGTAACCTCCATTGAGCAGCTAAGGCTAGGACAACCCTCACAGTTTCAAACCTGGCAACTGGTGAGAAGGTTTCCTCATAATCTATTCCTTCTTGCTGTGCATAGCCCTTGACCACTAGCCTGGCTTTATGCCTTGATATGCTACCATCCGGATTGTATTTTGTTCTATAGACCCATTTTAGGCCTATAGCTTTCTTCTCCTTGGGCAGACTTACAAGCTCCCAAGTCCCATTCTTCTCTATAACACTCATTTCTTCTTCCATGGCCTTTTGCCATTCTGGCTTAGTAACAGCTTCATCAAAACCTGTGGGTTCTGCAACAACTAGAGCAAAATCACAATTTTCATAGATATCAACCAAGGTTCTTACTCTGCGCGGAGGGGATTCACTTGATTCACTTGATGATGATGAAGGAGAACTTTGGTTGCTTGAGGAGGTAGAAGAGCTGTGTGGTGTTGAGGGAGGACTAGGCTGTAGAGGGTCATCAATAGGCTCATTAGTTTCCTCTATCCTTCTCAAGCTTCCATCAGTTTGATTGGCTTGATTCCAATCCCACTTTGCATCCTCATCAAAGACTACATTTCTGCTTATAACCACTTTGCTTGTGAGTGGATTATACCGTCTGTAAGCCTTTGACTGAGTTGAGTAACCAACAAAAATGCACTTCTCAGCTTTAGCATCCAGCTTGGTTCTCAGATTCATCAAGGTATAAGCAATACACCCAAATGTTCTTAGGTGATTGACTGAGGGCTTCTTCTGTCTCCAAACTTCAAATGGTGTTGAGTTCATCACTGCTTTAGTAGGTGAGATATTGAGAATATAAACAGCTGTTGCAACTGCCTCACCCCAGAATGAGTTAGGCAGCCCTTTAACCTTCATCATACACCTAGCCATTTCAACAATGGTTCTGTTTTTCCTCTCAGCTACCCCATTTTGCTCAGGGGTATATGGTGCTGTAAGTTCCCTTCTAATCCCCTGATCATCACAATATTGATTAAACTCTTTGGAGACAAACTCTCCACCCCTGTCAGTTCTTAGGGCCTTCACTTGCAGTCCACTTTGCTTCTCCACCAATGCTTTGAACTTCTTAAAGTTCTCAAAAGACTCAGATTTAGTCTTTTGAAAGTACACCCATGACATCCTACTGAAGTCATCAGTGAGGAGAAAGAAATACTTACTTCCTCCTAATGATTCAGTTTGCATGGGGCCACACAAGTCAGCATGAATTAACTCCAAGCACTCACTAGCCCTCCAAGCCTTGCCACTTGGAAATGAACCTCTAGCCTGCTTCCCATACACACATCCTTCACAGAATTCTAACACCCCAATGCTAGGCAATCCATGCACAAATTCCTTTGATCTTAGCAATTGTAAACTGTGATTGTTGAGATGCCCATACCTGAGGTGCCATAGTTTTGCATTTTCATCTCCTTTCACCACAAGAGCTTGACCTGCATTTCTGGTTAGGTCCAATGGAAAGACCTTGTTCTTCCCCATTGGTATCCTCATCACCACTTCATTCTGCTTGTTATCTTTGATGATACACATACCATCCTCAAACAAGATTCTGTAGCCTCCACATATAAGTTGACCCACACTTAACAAGTTATGGGCCAGATTAGGAACATACTGTACATTATGCAGCAATTTGGGCCTTCCTTGCTCAGTTGGAAGCTCAATTGTTCCCTGCCCTTCAACTGAAAGCTGCTTGCCATCTCCAAGCCTCACCATACTCTTCTTAGAATCATCTAGGTTCATAAACATGTCCCTAGAACTGGTCATGTGGTTTGAACAACCACTATCCACATACCAGACTGTTTTTGCTCCATAATCACAATTATGTTGAGCAAGGAAAAGATTCTCATGCTCAGCATAATTTGACTTGCTCTCATTTCTTCCTTCTCCCTTATCCTCTTCTTTCTTCCAACATGAGGCCTCTTTATGGCCTGGTTTGTTGCAGTAATAGCATTTGATGGGAGGTTTAGAACTGCTCCCAGTTGATTCATCCTTTCTCTCAGGAGTATAACCTCTACCTCCTCTGCCACGACCTCTACCTCTATTGCCTCCTCTACCACGACCTCTTCCTCTTCCTCTTGAAGATTGCTGACTTCTATCATGGTGAGAGGCATCAGCTTTTGCTTGAAAAGCTGTTTCATCCCTTTCTTCCTCTTTGTCTTCTCTTTCTTCATAAGCTTGCACTGAACCTTTGAGTTCATCAAAGGTGTATACATCCATATCTTTAGATTCCTCTATGGCAGAAACAAGAGGAGTATACTTCCTTGAGAGACTTCTAAGCACCTTACTAACCACTTGCTTGGTCTTAACCTCCTCTCCATAAGACCTCATTTGCTGCACAACATTTGTGATCCTGGAGAGGTAGTCTTGGACTGATTCCTTGTCTTTCATCTTGGAGTTCTCAAATTCCCTCCTCAATGATTGCAGCCTAACTTCAATGACCTTCTTGTCACCCATGTACTCCTTTTTCAGGACACTCCAAGCCTCCTTGGATGTTGATGATGCTGCAATCCGGGGAAATACCTCATCATCCAAAGCTTGTTGGATGAAATAGAGAGCCTTGGCATCCTTCTTTCTCTTATCTCTCAAGGCTTGATCTGGTTCCTCCGGTTGTCCATCTTCAAACCCTTCATCAACAATGCTCCATAACTCTTGAGACTTGAAGAGAGTCTTCATCTTCAAACTCCAAAAGTGGTAATTTGAACCCTTGAACATGGGTAATTGGGAGATTGAATTCCCATTGTTACCACCCGCAGTCTGCATTGTTTTCACTCTTTTTTTTTTGTTTTGTTCCTCACAATTTAGGTCCTCGGATAGCTCTATAGCTCTGATACCAAATGTTGTTCAAAGCCTATGAAATACTATACGAATGTATGATAAAAACTTGGAGAAGAAAAGAGGCTCACCAAAAACTACTTTCATTAATAATCAATAGGCTTTATATAGCCTTTTACAAGAATGAAAACAATCAAGCACGTATAACAACTATCTCCTATAATTATGCTAAGCCAAGTATTCAAATACGTGAGTAAACAAAGACCAAATCAAATGCCTAAACTTTAGCTAACCACTTAGACTTATTCAAAAACAATATTAATCAATAAAGAATAACTAAAAACCAATATTCCACGTATGCATGCAAGCTTGATCACTTGCTCAACATCCATAACCACAATTTTAGTGCCACAGATATGAATTTATAATGAGATACATTTTGAGATAGCTTTATTCTTTAATCACCCTCTGAGTTTGAATGCAACTTTTTACCCAGTCGCTTGTCCAGACTCCAGACCTTGCAATGTGTGACTTTTGAGAATAGAGTTGCTCACTTGTCTTTAATCCATCGAAACTTAACATGAATTCGACTTAACCTTGCAATGTATTACATTTGCCCACAAAAACTTAATTTTCTCTTTAGAACACGAACTACATAAAGGTACCACCCCTACCAAATATCACTGCAATGCTCATGTTGCTTGTGGCGTTAATATGGTTTTAAACTCTTCATGTGGCAAATCCAGTGACTTAACTATAAGACTACAGATTGTCCTGGGGAAGTCATTAATAATAATGTATATATGGAAAGTACTCTTTTAGAATCCTACTTTAGAATTGTTTCTACATTTAAATCTTATATTAAGCAATTTCTTATAATTAAAGTTTTAGACATATATAGTGGATACGGCACTGTATGTATGTATGTGGTCCATGAAGTTTTATATATAATGGTTAAAATAGATTTATCACATTTCTTTGGAGGACTTTGCACCGCATCTTAATTATAAGAGAAAACGAGGCAAATAAGTCCTCGAACTATTTGCGATTCTGCATTCAGGCTCTTCAACCGGAAGACTTGCAAATACACCCTTCAGTTCGTTGAAAATTAAGCAATCATATCCCTTTTTACCTGTTGGTGCAGGTAAGGAGAAGATAAATTACCGGCACCAGCAGGTATAAAGGTTCTGATCGCTTAATTTTCAACGAGTTTAGGGGTGTATTGCAAGTCTTCCAGTTCATGGGCCCGATTACAAAAATGCAAATAGTACCACGACTTATTTGTCCCTTTTCACTAATTATAAAAAGTTGCTATTAAACGGAAAAAATCAAGGGTTGGGTCTCAATATATATTAACATTCTGGATTTTATCGATGTATTATAGTAGAATTTATTCATTATAGTTATCAAGTTCATTGATTTTTCATTGGGAAATTTTCTAGGATATGACTCATTGAGTTTCTTTAAATATAATTAACTTAGGTTTTTAATATTTGTATGACTTAAAATCCAAAAATAAAAGAAAATCATGTTTTTATTTAATCATTGAATGACGAAAATACCCTTATTTAAAATATGTGCATTGTACACTAATTTCGTACAATTAAAATTACTGCACTTTATACTGCAGTTAATGCACAACATTACTTGTGCGAGATTAGTGCACATCCCGTAATAATCATTGTACTTCCGTCAAGTTTAATTATCTTCTCACCCACCTTAGGAATTTATTTATTTATAGTTTTTTAGATAAAATATTTTTATTATTTTGCGTCTAATTAGTTATATTGCAATTCATGGCGATATTACTGCTTTGCATTATTACTGGTCATAATCACTGCACTTCATCCAATGTTGTATCACTATCTATTGCATTTGAATCACTGCATAACACACCTCGCCAATGCATTTATTCAATGCTCATGTACAACATTAACCATTGTCATATATAGTGCTCATACTCAACATTTATTGTCATATTCACTGTCAATGTTCACTGCCCATGTTTAATGCTCACAAACCCTAATTTCAACAATCCCTAATTTTAAAAAATAGAATTAGGATGTGAACCAGAAAAAGAAGCTATCCAAGATGCCCACAAACCTGATCTTTGTTTAAAAAAAAAGGAATAATTCTACTTGGTGGCCTCCTGCGCCGCCTCAACTCATTGTGAATGAGATCTCAACAGAGAGAAATTGAGGACACCACCATTCTCTCATCAAATTGAGAAATAAAAGACGTTGTTGGAAATCTGCAGAGGAAATCAGCCGCCATATTCAGTCGTCTCTGTGCACTTCTTGGCATAGAAGCACCGTACAAGAGAAATTTCAGTGACGGGCCAGATGAGTAGTTTGGACGGCATCCATCTCCCATCGTCTCTCTGCTCTTCTTTTACAAATCGACGAGCAAACTTGATGTGCTCTGTGCTCTTCTAGCCCAATCGATGTGTGCTACTATACGACGGGAGACGACGGTTGTAGGTGGCCGTGCGGCGGGCTGCAGGAGTCGGCCTTGCGGCGTATGCATCTTGAGCGGCGGTAGGCAAGGTCAGGGTTTGTAGAAAAGGAGTAGGAGATTAGAGTTTTATATGTATAAGCTGAAGGGTATATTTGTCCACCTAAATTAATT